AGTTTGGCAATGCAAAAAGTAGGGCAAAAGTAAGGGCTTTCTTAAGCTCAGCAAATGCTTGATCAACAGAAACAGTCCAATGGATGTTATCCTTCCTTAGCAACTCAGTGAAGGGTCTACTGATTAACCCATAGCCCTTGATAAATTTTCTGTAATAGCCAGCTAATCCAAGGAAACCTCTCGGTTGTTTGACAGTAGTTGGAGAAGGCCATTACTGCACTCCAGCTATCTTTTTTGGATCAGTGGATACTCCTTGAGTAGAAATAAAATGGCACAAGTGTTCAACACTAGGAACACCAAACACACACTTGGATCTCTTGGCCAGTAACTTGTGTTGCATCATAACCTCAAATACTTGTTGTAAATGTTGCACATGGTCTACTAAAGTTAAGTTGTAAACCAAGATATCATCATAAAAAGACCAACACAAATCTTCTCAAGAATGGTTGGAACAAGTGATTCAGCAAACACTGAAATGTAGAAGGTGCATTTGTCAGCCCAAATGGCATGATATTCGTAGTGGCCCATGTGAGTCTTGAAGGAAGTCTTAGGGACATCCTCAGACACTATTCTAATCTGATAATACCCAGATCTAACGTCAATTTTAGAGAAGACAATGGCACCAGATAGTTCATCAAGTGAATCATCTATAAGGAAATTTGTCCTTGATTTTGCAATGGTTTAATTCTCTATAGTCCACACACAATCGCCATGAACCATCTTTTTTTCCCACTACTATCACAGGTGATGTGAATGGACTGTTGATGTATTGGAACACCCCTTGCTATAATATTTCTTTCACTAACTTCTCAATAATGTCCTTCTTCATAGAAGAATACCTATAAGGTCGAATGTTGATTAGTTTAGATCCAGGTTGCAATGGAATCCTGTGATCTAAGGCACCTCTTTGAGGAGGCAGGGTAGTTGGTTCAGGAAATACTTCCATATAAGTGTTGAGAAAATCATGGAGAGGCTGTGATACTGCCTCATTCTTGGAGAGATGCAGTGCATTCAACTGAAGAGGTTGTGGTTGGTCAATCAAGACATGCAGCACGAAGAGTTCCACATTTTCTCCATTAGACTTATTGACAGTCTTTAGGCTTGATATCTGAAAGCATCAGAAACTCCCTTCAAGATATGTTGCTTGCCCAAATAGTTATAAGTCATGGTAAGAGCAGAATAATCCATAGTGACTGGGCCTAGAGTCTTCATCCATAAGGCACCTAAGACCAAATCATACTTCCCAACTAAAAAGACAATCAAATCAGATTCATAGGTTTTGCCTTCTGGCATCCATTGGAAGTTCCTAACTACACCAGAAGTGGCTTTATTATGTTATTACCTAAGCTAACATATGCCACCTTAGTTTGAATCACACTGCACCCCAACCTCTTTGCTGATTCAGAGTCAATGAAGTTGTGTGTGCTACCTCCATTCAATAAAATTTGAATAGGCCTCTTGTCACTGTAACCAGTAACTGTGAGCACGTGATATTTGCCCTGTAGGAATTACTCCCATAAAATACAAGGAAAACAATTTTTCAATTTTTTACAATTTTATAAAATTTTGTGGAAATTTGTGCTAATTGTTTGCATTTCTGTGCATGTTTATTTTGTTAAAACTCATGAAAGACAAACAATACCATGCATTGTATTTAGGTCATTTATATATTTTTAAGGTTAATTAGAAAATAAGTTGCTTTATTAAAATTAAAAATCACAACAAAAAAAATTGGTTTGTTTTTGCATTTTTGGCCTTTTACTATTAAATTAGTAATTTCCTCTTTAAATTTAGGAGTAATTAACTTTCATAAACATCTTAGTAGATAATTAACTTAATTTTATAAATTAATATAATTTAAGAGTTTAATCTAACCTTTTAATTAATTCAAAAGGAAAACAAAATTAAAACAAAAGAACAAAAGAAAGGGGAATGGGAATTTGATTTTAAAACCCAAATTAAACCCAAATCTCGTCTGAGCCCAATCAATGTCCAAACGACCAAGACCCGCCCCAAGTCCACTCCTTTACCCGGTCCAAACCCTCCCCTTTAAACAAAATGACCCCATTTGGTCCCCTCCCATCTCAACCGTTGGATCAATGTGATCCAACGGACCGGAACTCAAGTCCCCCATGTATAAAGGTGTCAAAACCGGCTCACCCCTCCCCCCCCCCCAGTCCAAACCCACTCCCTCCAATCTTCGTCTCTAACCTCAAGAACCCTAAAATCCGCCGCCCCAAAATCCCACCGTCCTAGCCGGCGGCGCAACCCTATTCAGCCCCAAATTTAACACCACACCACCCCTGTTCCCTCCTCTTTCCAAACACCCCAACCGTTTTCCCCAAATATTCATCAAGTTCTTCAAATCTGAGATTGAAGATTGGAGTCCCAGACCCTAACTTACCCAAACTCGCCCAAATTTGTACCCTACAGTCCCTAGGTCTCCCCAAACCCAAAACCCTTGGCAATTTCCCCAAACAAACTCTAGAATTTGTCGAATTTGAAATCTAGGGTTTGACCTAATTTCGGGGTTGGAATTGTGTTGAAGATTTCTGCTCATCGGGGCTCGAAGTTCGCCTTGACATAGCATTCTTGATTAAGGGTGTTCGTTAGGGTGAGTTTCCAGCTTCGATGAAGCATCTCGAGCATGGCCAGTCATTCATCTCTGCTTCCTTTGCCAATACTCTCCGGTTTCTTTGGTTAGTCATTCATTTTTTTTCTTTTCTTTTGTTGTTATTTATTTGTTTCCATTTTCGTCTTCTCTTGATTTTTCCTTTTTCTTTCTTTCTTTTTCTTGCTCAAATCCATTTCTGCTTGCATGTTACGGCATATTAGTTTATAGTTGGTTAATTTAGTAATATTAGTTTAGCAACAGTTAATTTCATTTTTTGATTCATCTCTTTGCCCTTGTTCCTTTTCTTTTGATCTTTCTTTTTTTTTTTTTAAAAGAAAAAAGAGAAAAGGATCCAGAACTCTTTGTGAGTTGTTTGTTTAGGATTGGAAGGTGGGCTTGCTAGTGCAAGAAGCCCAAAGGATTGTTAGAGTCTGCTAATGCAGAAGCCTAAAGAAGCAGGGGGCATTTTGACTCAAAGGCTTGTTGTGGTTAGAAGTAATTAGTAAGTATTTTAAGGGGTAGTTAGGAGATTTGAAGGGGGGGGGGGGGGGAATCTTTCATAACTGCTTAGGAAAGTTCTAGGAAAGAGGGAAATGGGTGGTTTAGCAAACATGTTTGAAGTTCAACGCCTGAAATGTGCAAAAAAGAGAAATTGGGGAGGGGTAGTAAAGAAAAGAAAATCAATCTCTGCTGCCCTAGTACCGCTCTATAAAAGGGTTCACTTCCTCATTTTCTGGGTAGAGATTAGAATACAAAAGGCTAGCAAATGGCTAAAAGATTACAAGTACCATTTTTCTGCACTTAGAACACTGAAATACATAGAGTTTCATAATTAGAAAAATACAGAAAAATCGTGAGCACTGTTCCATTGCAGCTGGGTTTTTCCCACATTTTTGGGTTTTAAAAGCTTGAATACACTACTATTTTCCTGGTCTCAAAACATGGTTCTAGCTGGTTGATAGTTGTTCTTTACTGTTGTCTAAGAGTTGTTGATACTTCTATTTCCTTGCTGAAGTTCTGTGGTTGTTTTCTTCGTGTTACAGGTATATTCATGAGCTTGAAGCAGTAAAATGGGCTTTGAATGTGCTGATTGGGAATGGAATTCTCTTATTCATTTAGCTGAATGTTTCTTTGATATTGTTCTTCAATCAAAAATTTAATACTATTTCAGCTTAGCTTAAGTATTGTCAACACTGATGTTAGTATAGTTGTATGGTTCAAGTGTTTAAGTTATTTTAGATCATTCATAAGTGTCACACCTCCTTTTTCACACACCCCGAAGGTAGTATAAGGGAGTTTTTCCAATTAAAGTGACAATCGAAACGAGATTATTTATTTATTAAATTCAGAGTCGCCATTTGGGATAATTTATGGTGTCCCAAGTCACCGGTTCAAATCCCGAATCGAGGAAAAGATTAACTCTGTATTACAGTTCGCGAACCAGAAATCCGGGTAAAGAATTCTGTTAACCCGGGAGAAGGTATTAGGCATTCCCGAGTTCCGTGGTTCTAGCGCGGTCGCTCAACTGTTATTATTGGTCTAATTATTTGATTTTAAACATGTCCAGACCTATGTGCATTTTTAAACTTTATTAACCGCTTTTAATTAATTAATTTTTAGGAGAAATTCAACGTCATCTAAAACACGTCTTAAACCATGTCACATAAATGCACCCGCGGTCCTCGACATATTTTATCTAACATTGTTGAGATTTGAATTTGGGTCACATGAATGCGCACCCGAGTTTAGGAAGGTAAATTATTAAAATAACGCGCCTAAAGCAACTACGTTTTGCAACTTTGCGAGGGCCATGAAAATTCACTAAATGGCACGCCTCGATTTCTAAGGATACACAAGATTAATTAAATGAGGGCCATGCATTTGAGATTTATTTGGCACGGCACACCTCAAATTACTCCAAAAGGGCTCTACTCAACTAAAGCAAACTACGGATGTTCATAGATTATTTAAAGCTAATTTGAGCTTATTGTGAGGCTAATGGATTTAGAGTGGGAGGAATTATTATAAACTAACACACGATGGTAGGAGTGTAGAGGAAGCAGCACACTACCGTGAAATGTAAACATCATAACAACCTGATTATTTGAACTAACCAAAATTCCCTTTGTTTTACTTGTTGAATTTCCTATAGAAGAATTCCAGAGAAGTACCAGAATGAAGATAAACGACAAGCAATGAATGACTCCACCATCTATTATCCCGTGCGCTTAATTGTATACAACCAACTCATCTGTGGAATACTCCGAAACCATTAAGAAAGAACAGGAGATTTATACGTATTACTTGATCAAATTCATCACAAATATAACGAAACTAAATCCAACACAAATTCAGGACAATGGAACTTCAGACGTTCATCTCCAAATTCAACCAACAAGAAGAACAGGTCAGCCACATATTTCAATCAAAACCACGAGAGTAACATCGCAGAAATGAACAGTAGCCAAAACTGAGGCATCGAATCAACATGTAAGCAACGAAATAAAACAGAGAAAGAAGAGACTGAGCAATGAAATTTTCAGAGACACAAAGGAAAAATTATTACACATTTCATCCTAATAGAGCACCCAATGACGATTACAGCATTTCGAATCGAAAATTCATACCTGAAACGCGAATAAAAATCGAAGAAAAATAAACCCGAACACAGACCAAATCGCCACCGGAACTTCAGCAACTGAACCTCGCTTGGAATCGGAAAGGTTTTGACCCTGTTTTCGGCTCGTCCCAGATCTGTTCTCACTATTGTTCACTCGATTTTTCGGACTGAAATTCCATATCTCTGTTTGTATGTGTGTGTGCATCCTGAAACGGAGAAGAAGCAAAATCAGACGAGGGCTTCTGAGTTGTATCTCTTTGCAGAAGAAGATCGGAACAGTGGGGTGGTCGTTACTGGTCCAAAAAGAAGCTGAGCGGTGGGTGAATTTCAGAAGACGATGACTGGGGGTGGGGTCGTTTGTTAAAAGCTGCGCAGCTTTTTCAGTCCCTTTTCAGAGTGTATTTTACTCCTTCAGATTTTTGGGCGTCTATTTTTTTTTTGGTCCCCCTTATTTTAGGTGTTATATTATATATATATATATATTAGGGGTATGGCTGTCCAACGGGACGGGACGGGACGGGACGAAATTAACGGGACGGGACGGGATGGGACGGGACGACATTTAAGCGGGACGGTGGCGGGACGGGACGAAACGGGACGGGACAAACGGGATGAAACGGTCGTCCCATCCTGTCCCGCTAACAAACGGGATGGGACGGGATGGGACGGGACGGAACGGGACGGGACGGGACGGGTTCGTGGGCCTTAAGTGTATTTTTTTTTAATAAAAAAACGTCTAGTTTTTTGAAAATTACTATGTTTTTAAAGTTTGCAACGGCTAGATTTTTGACTTATTTAATAAACTTAAATGTTACTATGTTAGTATGTTAAAAAGAAAATTAGAAAACTAAGTAAGGAATTATAAAATATTAAAACAAAAGACTTATAATGAAATAATCTAGTAAATATAAATTTATAATAGAGTTATAATTTATTTAATATAATTTCAAAGTATTAACTATTAAGTAACTAAGACAATTCATAAAAATAATTCATCGCTTAGAGCCTTTTATTTTATTAATAGAACTTTCAAATCTCAAATACAAATATAATTCTTTTGAAGAGCACCTAATCTACGCAGCCACCTTCTAGGAAGGGTTTTGTTTGAACTAGGCCTCTTAGTAGCCAATTACAAATTATCATACTAATATTTGTAAGCTCCTATATAGCTTCTTTGTAACTTATCAATAATATCTCTTGGACATTCTACTGGAATTGGCAATGTTGATTGATGTTCCATGAGCTCCATGCCGTCATCGCTCCCAGTGGTAGTATCTCATTGTATTCTTCTTCTTCCCTAGTGGTTAGTTTTTCAAAACCAAAATTTCTTCTTTCTGAATTAATCCAATCTCTGAATAAGACGGAAATCTCTAGACTGTCCTCCGCTAATGAATGTCTATGATCTCCAATTTGAAATCTTGCCGCGCTAAAAGCACTCTCCGATGCTACTGATGATGCTTGAATAGCCAGGATATCTCGGGCCATAATTGAAAGTGTTGGAAAAGCCTTGCCACGCTCCCTCCACCATGACAAAGTTGTTCCTTGCCTTCTTCGTCTTTAATATTTTCCAATCCTTGATTAAGATAAGAATCAAGTTCATCATCAATAGAGGAATCAAAACCTGTTATATCATCCATATCTTCCCATAAACTCTGCTCCAGACTTAGAAGTGAAGGAGCAGTTTCAGTACTAGTTGATCCATAGATTTATATTATCAAACATTGATCTAGCTATACGATATATGCTAGCTTGGCAGTTTTCGAGAGATGGTCTTCATGTCTTGAATTTCTAAATTCTCATAAATTTTT